CAATTTCTTCATTAAATTGTTTTATCATGTGTTCTCTGTCCAAATTCTCTTTAAAAATTTCCTGTACTTGTATTGTCTCTGATGACATAGTATTTGAATTAATTGAAGAAGCCTTGAAAAAACCTTCATGTCAAAAGGGATTCATTCTGGATGGTTTCCCAATGACAGTGACTCAAACTGAAAAAGTTCTTCGCCATTTGTTTGTGTGTGTGTGTCTGTAGAAGGGAGAGGGGAGAGAGAGAGAGAGAGAGAGACGCCTATTTATGCTACAATAGTTTTGCCTAATTTTTTACACATTTATTTTAATTCTTGCAGCTTCAGGAGATGCTCCAGAGGCAAGGAACTAAGCTTGATAAGGTGCTCAATTTTGCAGCAGATGAAGCCATTTTGGAGGAGAGGATTACTGGTCGTCGGATCCATCCTCCAAGCGGTACGATCTATCACTCAAAATTTGCACCTCCAAAGTGCATGGCCGCGTTGATGATGGTAAGTTGATTTGGTTTTCTTAAGGACTTTCAGCAAGTCAAGTCACAGTTTAGTGCTTCAACTCACAATATTATTTGTGTTTCATGTAGCAAAAAAGAAAAAGAGAAAAAAAATTAATAGCTTGTTACCAGACAGGACTTTAAGTGATCTGAATGTCATGTTACATTTGTCCGAAAGTCAGAATAACATATAAAAGATTTACTTTGCGCACTAAAACAGGTTACTGGAGAGCCATTAATCCAACGGAAAGATTATACTCCCGAGGCTCTCAAATTAAGACTGGAGCATTGCACAAGCAAACTGAACCTGTGAATGTTTATTATCTGAGTTTCATTAGATCATGTTGGCGGGGGTATTTTAGATCACTGTCAGTGTAATGTCTTGTTTCCGGCACTTATTTATTTGTGAAACACTATTAACTTGGTGCTATTTTTGAAATTTTGCCTTGGTTGATTATTTGGATGATGGATGGCCTACGTGGCAACCTCCATATGACTCATTGGTTTTGACAAAGATTGTGATAGTTGAGAAGGGTTGTAATCCGTCTAATCAAATGGATGGCTGATATTTATTCTTGTATTAATGGATTCATTTAATTGGGCTGGACGGTTCACTGTAGAGGTACCTTTTGATTTCTGGCGTCTCTTCAGTTTTCGTCTAAGGGCGATTTTTTTTCTTCCATTTTTGGTTAAAAAGCTTATCTGTTTGTGTGATTAATCATGGAAAACGATCCTACTATAGTAACTCTAGGCTTGGTGTGCCTGTGTTGTTCTACGTTTAAGTCGGGATTATTTAGGGTTGATTGTTGTAAAGAATTTGTGTCTTGATTTTGTAGATCTATACTGATCAATGATCAAAACAGAATTTTTTGAGTGGTTTGATGTACACTATACTCTCTCTTGGAAGGCAGATTTACACTAGTGGAACGGGTTACATTCCCTGAACCCCCTAGACTAAGCTAATTGGCTGAATTGGGTCAACAATCCTTGGTGTTCTCGAGTTTATTTTTTATTACGTTTTTTGTGATTGTGGTTTATTTCTGTTTTGACCAATTATTTCATCAAGAAATCCCTACACCATCCAAAGAGGTCACAGCTGAGGTTCACAAAGTTCTGTCCGCCTGAGGAGCATTCTCTTTCTCTCCACTAAACTGCTCTCTTCCAACTATTTGAGCTGACCTCTTAGTGTTGCCTCGCCTCATTGTTTTTGAGTAATGATCTGAACCTTGCTAGGTTCAGGATGAGTTAGAATCGCTACTTACTGTTTATGATTCCCATTCGTTTTGGCTTCTCCATGTGTACGAGAAATTAGTGGAGTTTCGTTTCTTCTTCTTCCCTGGTATTCTATTAGTGTCTTCAAACTTCCAATTGGTGTTCCAATATTTCAACAAAATTAATATATTGAAAGTAACATTTGTATAGGTGTGCTCCGGAGAAGTTTGCATTTATTAGACACTACAATTACTTCCAATCGATCTTCCAATAATTTTGCCCACTGTATTATCTAATCTTATCTAGTACTGGGTACAAAACATGTCTTAACCATAGGTGTGCTCTGGAGGAGTTTTGCATTTATTAGGCTCTACAATTATATCAGAATTATATGTTTTAACTTGAATTCAAATGCCTCAGATCATCATAATACACAGCTAATATTAGTGTTGCAGATACCATATACTACAAAGCAATAACAAAATGAAGCAGAGATCAGAGAAAGGTTTAGAGAGAGTTGACAACAAATTTTTAATGAAATCTCATACAAATATGCTTAGCTTCTCTTGACTGGATCAAAGTTGGAAACGCCAATAATAGCCCAAGAATGGCTCCAAGCACAACCCCACCAGACACAACGCTGAGCAAGAAGCTCTTAAGAGATGGGGTCAGTCCATTTCCAGCCGCCTCTGGAATCACCGTGAAAGCTATCAATGCAGCTGCCGTTATTGCTGTAACAGCCTTCTCCTTAATAGAGGCTTCACCTTTAACATTAGACTGTGATTTTGAGTTAACGATCACGGTCTTTAACGACTTCTTCACCTGTGATAGTGGCTTGAAAAATGCGTAGGAGTTTGGTGGCTGCAGCCTCTTCTGGCTGCTGCAAGTGTGGTTAACGGCATAGCCATTGAAATTGAGGCCATTGTTTAAGCCTTTTTTTTTTTTTTGATAATTTATTTCCCGTTTAGTTCAAGTATACTAACAGAGGTGGCCTGGCTTAGATAGTTGGATATACATTTGGGAGAAATTGAGAGGTGGAAACTAGAGATTTTTTGCTTGCTTGTCATTTTGATGCTATCCTATGTGGCAATTTCGTAACCCTGGTCGAGATGCTGCGTAAGCAAATAAAGATAGTAGTGTCTATTGCCCACGTTGGGCCGGTCGAATTGCAGAAGATGACCCCCCATATACATTCTTGATGGCTCATCTCAACCCATAGATACAACATCCTAGTGTGGGTCAAGGCAAGGTAGACCTATAAGTCGAATATATTATTGTATTAAAGTTTTGAGAAAGTTTGACAACTACCTTAAGTTTCTTTATATTGAGTAACACTTCATTAAAACTTATTCACAGGCAAGTTACATTTCAATAAAACTCAACAATTTAGTTTCCAATAAAATTTCAACAGTTTATACATGTTACATGTGTTACCTAATTTTTTTCACGAATCACAAGATACATGCTATTACCTTATTTTCCTCGCAGATTACAGATATAAATGCCAATATATGTACATATATAATGTGGGAACCCCTTTGCTAACAAGTGAATGGGTTGGGGATCCTTTCCGAGCTGGTTTCAATCGCACTTCTCAGAATCAATCATGCTACAAGTACACTAACTTTGACATTAAGTTTGACATTCTACCACGTGGCGACATCACATTGGTCAATTTTTAAAAACAACACACTTTCCCGCCCAACAGAATTTGAATTTACACATAGTGTCAAACTTGATGTCAAGAAAACAATNAGCTGGTATATATGCACTTTTAACAGAGCATTGCATAAGCAAACTAAACCTGTGAATGTTTATTATCTGAGTTTCATTGTTTTAGATCACTGTCAGTGTAATGTCTTGTTTCCGGCACTTATTTATTTGTGAAACAATTTATGAAATGCTCGGTGATTAATAGGATTGCAGATTCGTGCACACTTGTTTGCTTCCTTGCTACAAAAATGTTTCTGAAACTATCAAAAATATCTGCAGGTGGTAGGTTATTATTCGAAGAAAGGTGCCGTTGCCCATATCCCTGCTGGGAAACCATATGAAAGAGCGTGTTTCTCAAAACACTATTAAATTGGTTCTATTTTTGAAATTTGTCTTGGCAGATTATTTGGATAATGGATGGCCAATGTGGCAACATCCGAATGACTCATTGACTTTGACAAAGATTGTGCTAGTTGAGAAGGGTTGTAAACCGTCTGGTCAAATGGATGGCTGAGATTTATTCTTGAATTATTGGATTCATTTAATTGGGTTGGACGGTTCATTGTAGCGGTACCTTTTGATTTCCGTTGTCTCTTCAGTTTCTTCTCTCTAGTGGTTTTCGTCCAAGGACGATTTTTCTTCTTCCATTTTTTGGTTAAAAAGCTTCTCTGTTTGTATGATTAATCCTGGAAAATGATCCTGCTACAGTAACTTTGGGCTTGGCGCGCGTGTGTTGTTCTACGTTTAAATCAGGATTGGTTAGGGTTGATTGTCGTAAATGATTGGTTTCTTGATTTTGTAGTTCCTTATAGATCGATGATCAAAACAGCATTTTTGAGTGTTTGATGTATATGTGTTTACTCTCTCTTTAAAGGCGGATTTGCACTAGTGAAACGGGCTATAGTCCCTGAGCCCCCAGACTAAGCTAATTGGCTGAATTGGATTAATCATCTTTGGTGTTCTTGTTTGTTTATTTTTTATTACATCTTTTGTGATTGCGGTTTTTTTCTGTTTTGACCAATCATTTCATCAAGAAATCCCTACACCATCCAAAGAGGTCACAGCTGAGGTTCACAACGTTCTGTCTGCCTAAGGAGCATTGTCCTTCCCTCCACCAAACTACTTTCTTCTAACTATTTGAGCTGACCTCTTAGGTCATATTGGATTACAACGAATTTCATGGAAAATGTCGCATTCGAGGAAAACGAATTTCACTTTGACCGTTTGATTGCAACGTGGAAATGAAAACTGAATTCCAAAGTACAACCACTTTAAGCTGCACTTTCTTTGTTTTCATGGAAAACGAATTCCTATGGATTTGATGAGTTTTTATTTTTCAACTAATATGAAATTGAAATTCATTTCCACATTGCCTGACCCTTAGTGTTGCCTCGCCTCATTGTTTTTGAGTAATAACCTGAAGATTGCTAGGTTCAGGATGAGTTAGAATCGCCACTTACTGTTTATGATTCCCATTCTTTTTGGCTTCTCTATTTGTACGAGAAATGAGTGGAGTTTCATTTCTTCTTCTTCACTGGTATTCTATTAGCGTCTTCAAACTTCCAATTGGTCTTCCAATATTTCAACAAAATTAATATATTTAAAGTAACATTTGTATAGGTGTGCTCCGGAGAAGTTTTGCATTTATTAGACTCTACAGTTACTTCCAATCGGTATTCCAATAATTTTGCCCACTGTATTATTTAATCTTATCTAGTACTGTGTACAAAACATGTCTTAACTATAGGTGTGTTCTGGAGGAGTTTTGCATTTATTAGGCTCTACAATTATATCAGAATTATATGTTTTAACTTGAATTCAAATGCCTCAGATCATCATAATACATAGCTAATATTAGTGTTGCAGATCCCATATACAAAGCAATAACAAAATGAAGCAGAGATCAGAGAAAGGTTTAGAGAGAGTTGACAACAAATTTTTAATGAAATCTCATACAAATATGCTTAGCTTCTCTTGACTGGATCAAAGTTGGAAACGCCAATAATAGCCCCAAGAATGGCTCCAAGCACAACCCCACCAGACACAACGCTGAGCAAGAAGCTCTAAGAGATGGGGTCAGTCCATTTCCAGCCGCCTCTGGAATCACCGTGAAAGCTATCAATGCAGCTGCCGTTTTTGCTGTAACAGCCTTCTCCTTAATAGAGGCTTCAACTTTAACATTAGATTGTGATTTTGAGTTAACGATCACGGTCTTCAACGAATTCTTCACCTGTAACAGTGGCTTGAAAATGCGTAGGAGTTTGGTGGCTGCAGCCTCTTCTGGCTGCTGCAAGTGTAGTTAATGGCATAGCCAATGAAATTGAGGCCATTGTTTAAGCTCTTTTTTTTTGGATAATTTCTTTCCTGTTTAGTTCCAAGTATTCTAACAGAGGTGGCCAGGCTTGGATAGAGATTTGGGAGAAACTGAGAGGTGGAAACTAGAGATTTTTTGCTTGCTTGTCATTTTGATGCTATCCCATTTGGCGATTTCTTAACCCTGGTTTGGGGGGGATAAGGTTAGGTTATCCACTAAGATTCAATCTCGGTCGAGATGCCGCGTAAGCAAATAAAGATAGTAGTGTCTATTGCCCACGTTGGGCCTGTCGTAAGCAAATAAAGATAGTAGTGTCTATTACTCAACAAATTAGTTTCCGAAAAATTTCAACAGTTTATACAAGTTACATGGGTTACCTAATTTTTTCACGAATCACATTCTGTTACCCTTTTATTTTACACAAGATACATGCTATTACCTTATTTTCCTCGCAGATTACAGATATAAATGCCAGTATATGTACATATATAATGTGGGAACCCCTTTGCTACCAAGTGAATGGGTTGGGGATCCTTTCCGAGCTGGTTTCAATCAAACACTTCCCAGAATTGAGGATTTTACATCGTCCCTATGACAATTCATTCTCCCAGGTAATGATGTAAACTGCCATCTTTTATGCATCTCGACTCTTAGGATAAATCGTTTTGAACAATTTGTTGGAGAACATCACATGATCATGTGAAACGGAAGTGATTCATGATTCAATTTCCTCAATCAACACCTCATTGTTAATACTTTTATCATTGACTTTATTATGTGATACTATTCTCTTCTTGGTAACTTTTTGTAATTTACTAACTACACTAACTTTGACATCAAGTTTGACATTCTACCACGTGGCGACATCACATTGGTCAATTTTTAAAAACAACACACTTTCCCACCAAACAGAATTTGAATTTACACGTGGTGTCAAACTTGATATCAAGAAAACAATGTACAAGAGGCTTTATTCTATTTAAAATGAATGATGTCTTCCCCTTCTAACGGGACAATAATGTTTACAATGGATTCAAGAACCTCAGGGCATCTCCAAAGGTGGCACCAAAACACAAAAGTGCACCCAATTTTGGTGAAAAAGCTCTCCAATAATGTGGCACCAAAGTTTGCATCATTTTGGTGCAAAGTCAAAGTTACCATTTTTCCATTGGCCAAACTAATTGATGGAGGTTATTTGTTGTTGAATTTGAGGCTCCAATCTTTGATTTCCTGGGCTAAGTCGACACCAAAACGACACCACAAAGCAACAAACCACAACTCACAACCGTCACCTTCCCAAGCCAACTGGTTTCTCTCAATGGCAGCCCACAAAGGGCTGGGTGTGGGGTTTAATATAGCCTCAAAGATCAGCCACACAAGCTAAAGGAGGAAGTAGAGAAGAAAGCACAAAGGCAGGGAAGCACGAAGTAAGACACGAGACTGAGATGCCTTTTCTTCTCTTAAAACCAAGGGCTAATTCCACACACGAGAAAACAACAGTAATGTGCAGCATAAATAGTAGCAATGGTGGGCTTTTAGGTTTAGGGGATAATAGAGGCCCAATAAGTGGGCTACCAACCAAAAAAGCCATCCAAGTCTTTGGGTTGGGCCATGAGCAACCCTAATTAAATTAGGCTACTTCAAATGGCCCAATGGGTTGTGGGTTTGGATCGAACTATTGTGGTGTCGATATTTCTCTTCATTCATCGGCCGAAACCTATGAAGTATAATCCAACAATAAACCGGTTTAACATCATCGCCCGGATTTATTGGGTATCAAAACCCAACACGCATAATTGTTTCTTATTGTAGGATAAGATCGGATATCATAGGTGGTCAAGAGCCTCCATGAAAAATAATAGGTTTTCTGTTATGACATCAAACANAGTACACTAACTTTGACATCAAGTTTGACATTGTACCACGTGGCGACATCACATTAGGCAATTTTTAAAAACAACACACTTTCCCGCCAAACACAATTTGAATTTACACACGGTGTCAAACTTGATGTCAAGAAAACAATGTACAAGAGGCTTTATTCTATTTAAAATGAGCGATGTCTTCCTCTTGTATCGGGACAATAATGTTTACAATGGATTCAAGAACCTGAGGGCACTCCAGAGGTGGCGCCAAAACACAAAAGTGCACCAAATTTTGGTGAAAAAGCTCTCCAATGTGGCACCAAAGTTTGCATCATTTTGGTGCAAAGTCAAATTTACCATTTTTTCCATTTGCCAAACAAATTGATGGAGGTTATTTGTGTTATATATATTTTAATATAATACATCATCATCATCATCATCATCATCATTATTATTATTATTATTATTTGCATTTAAAATAAATTTTAATAA